GAAGTACTTTCAGCATTGGTCTTCTTTGTATAAATTAGGAAATTACAATAAATCACTTGCATTATTTTTTCAAGGTCAACTCTAGCCAGAATGATGACTTCACTGCTGTTAAGCCTTCTTTCCCTCCTTCCCCCCACAAAAACCTCAACCCCCTTTCTCTCTACCAAATCAAGATACAAACATGCCACCCTCAAGAAAACACCTTCTGTCTTACTTTCCATAAAACAGGCTATCACTACAGGAGGCGTTACTTACCGGGAGCAGCCATGGCATAAGGAGTGCTTCGTTTGTACTGGATGCAAGAAGCAGTTGTCTGGTCAACGCTTCACCTCCAGGGATGAGTTCGCATATTGCCTGAGCTGCTTCTGCAACCTCTATGCCAAAAAATGTGCTGGATGCACAAACCCAATCAGTGGTAGGTCTCTCACGGCCGGTGCCTTTAAATTTTGGGGTTTTTTTTTAATGAACTGCTTCTAATATTCAAAATAGTTCAATAATTCATACTGAATAACTTGAGAAACTCGACACTATATAAAGATGTGTGAAATTAACTACTTATGATGCCTTTCAAGTGCCTAACAAAAAGAAATGGAAGAGGTCCTTAAATTGAATTTTCCTCCTTTTCACCTGATTTTCATAGAACATGGTAGACACAGAGTAACAGAGCTATGCATGTAGTAGGATATGCATATTCTGTACACCACTTCACTTGGTTCATGAGAGGCATCACTGGCCCCAACAACAACAGTCCCTTCACCAACAGAAAAGTGTCTAACTGGCTTATACCTGATGCTGTAGCACAGCACATTTCTTCCCTGACTTTTCAGGACAGCAACTGAGAAATCACAAGGCTTTCCAATGCAAAAGTATTTAAAGAAGTGATGGCTTAGAGCTTTACTATGAAACACTTTGCATAAAAATATCTTCTGTGAAGTAATCAGCACTTAACAGCATCATCCATACAGTATAAGGCTGCAAATCTGAGTTATATCTGGATCATTTTCTCTTGTTACTGCTCTGCCCTTGTGCCCGTCTCTCACTAATATACACCTGACTCCATAGCTCCTAGAAAAGTCAGTGCATAACACCACAGGTACTATTTTCTGTTCATGGGAAAGAGGCATTTCTCTCTTGAATATTGCAGTCTCTCTACCATATGCTGTTTTTTTTCAAAATGTGCTACTAAAGGGAAAACAAAACAAAAAACCGTCTCATCAGGTAGAAGATATGCCCAACTAAGTCTTTCCACTGACTTCCAGCTAGTCATTCCAATGCATCATGTTCAAATTGCTTGTCACTTCTGAGGTTAAGCAAGAGATAACTACTACTAAGAGACATTTGTTCCTTTTCTCTCTTTTTCCTGTACAACTTCAATACCCCTTATGATAACCTCCATAGCCTCAAAATCTTGAATGCTTTTTGCAGTTTACTAACCTGCTTCTTTTCTTAAGGCACACTTCCTTCAAAGCTATGATTCAAAGTCATGACACAACCTGTCAAACTTCTTTTTTAATGATCTAAAATGAATTTTTACAAAACAAAATTAACTTACTCAGACACTGTAAATCATTCTGTAAAAAACTATCAGACTTCTGTTCAGGGGCAGTTGCTTTCCTTTTCTTCTGCTGTATATTGTAGTGCCGTACCTTGAAAGTTAATTTCTGCCATTATCACCAGTGATAACAGCCTAGTTCACCAACTTAGCTGAAAGCAACAGAACGATTTGAGGATGGAAATATAACTTGCTACAGAGTAAGGGTGGCAAAATTAACACAGCAACAAATAGATTTGTCACAACGGCATTTTTTCACTACTGGATATTGGATCTCCATAGCAATCCATGGGGGGAGTCTGCAATAGCATCACCTGATGACTGATGTGCTATTCTTTTCTTGTAACAGAATGCTTTTGGTTTTCAAACAGGACTCGGAGGAACCAAGTACATCTCCTTTGAAGAACGGCAGTGGCATAATGATTGCTTTAACTGTAAGAAGTGCTCCCTCTCATTAGTGGGTCGCGGCTTCCTCACGGAAAGGGATGACATCCTTTGCCCTGAATGTGGGAAGGATATTTAAAGCTCAAAATAACAGGTGGGGAGAGGGGAGTAAAGCCGTGCTTGCAATATATAGTCTGAAATACACAGATGTTCAAAACTAGCTTTGCCACTCTGTATTTCGCTGTACTATTAACATTACTCAATCTTTTTCTTCAAACTCTCCAAATCCGGAGGGAAAAAAAAACTTTAAAATCTCTAGTAGCAGTGTTGGTGTTTAAGATTTCTACGGCTAACCAAAACTAATGCAGAACCTGAGATGTAAAACCACTTGGGTGTCATTGACAGAGCATACTCTTTTTGTTGTGTTTTTTTTTTTTCCTTCCACTAAATATTCCAGTTACAAGCAAGTGATATAGTTCAAGGATTACAATGGCCACGCACAATATGTTCATAGATGGATATTCAGGGTGAAACCCTCAGCCTGCTGAAATCAATGGCAAACACCATTCAATTTCAGTAAGGCTGTGGTCTCGCCTCAGTGCTCTTAAGCTATGTGACTAGTGTGTGCTGTCAGGTGTGTAGAAAGACTGCGAACGTAGAGGGTGTTTCAGTGTACAAGGATTTGTGCCGTGCCATAAAGAGATAATGATAAAACAGTTGAAGTGGGAGTGCTTCCTAACAGGTACATATTTTATTGCATGACTAGCTGATCATTGTGTGAAGTACAAGTTCTGATTGACAGTGTCAGTATTACAGTTAGTTGACATTACACTGCACATTGTATTTTTCAAAATAAAATCATTTAAAACAAAATTGTGATTGTGGTTTAACTGTATTTATGTATCAGATATTTACAAATAAAATGCTTTCACAGTCCGAAGAAACAATGTAAGAGCCATACAAACACAACCCTTTTTGCAACCAATCATCATGAAACTGTGGAGTTTAGACAATCCTCTGATAGGCCCTGCTGATACAACATAAGTCTCCTAACTAACTGAAATCATTGGGGAAATTATCTCTAAAACTGGACCGTGTGAAAATACCCAACTGACTGCAGTTAATAAAAATACGTTTATAGGCTCTAAACTCAAACCCAAACTATTTTTCTTCTCAGCAAGCAAGGAGGTCAAGACAACTCAGAAGACATTTATCTTTGCAAAAGTCAGAAGTTTAACTACCATACTAGGGCACGCTTTAATTTTGTTCTATATTGCAATACGCAATACCCTTAGCTCTAGAACAATTTCTGCTACATGTCTGCTGCAAAGGCAACTGTCAGCAACAGCATGATGGCAGGATAATAAAATCAAGAGGAAACAATCCAAAGGAAGGTAACTCTCTTACCAAAGCAAACTTCAAGAAATATGGCCATGTTATGCAATGTATGATCCCAGTATACCTTCCAGGTGGAATTCAGTTGTATACAGCAAAAGGAGGAAAGTAATATGTCACACTTTCAACAGGAATCTTCTGATGTGGGAAGAAGAATTAGGAATATACTTATTTTGTGTGTAACTGGATAAGGAGTTTGGTCCTAGTTCCTGCCACCACTCTTGAATTTGTTTCTTTTTATACCAAGTGTAAAGTGCTCACAGGTCATTCGTCTCATTAATTCAACAAGCCAAACAGATGCATCAGATCAGATTTGGTTTACTGTACACCATTTGAAGAATGTGGCTGGCTGACATTTTTGAAGTGCACACCATGCTAATCTCATTTCACTCAATGACTAAATTCTAGCCTATGGTGACTTCATTCTATGATGAAGGCTGTAGTGAAGAATAGCCATAAAAATCCCTCTTATATCCACACCTGTCAAAAAAAGGCAAGCACCTCACTCTCTCCTCTGGGGTCTGGCAATCCCCCAGCACACTGCAGCTCTGCTCGAGTACTTTGGTGAGAGAAGGATTACTATTAGCTAAGTGGGTAGTGGAAGGTACTAAGAGCAGTATGGCTTGCACCTTGCCCCCCACACGCTACAACAGATGGCAAAATGGTCCCAGCTTTGGGGAAAGGCAGGTGAAACATGACAAGTCTGGAAAGCATCCCAACTTGAAAACAAGACTGTTACCATGCAGTAGCAGCATCATGCTATCATTCCAGTACAGTTCTGCATATCACTCCTTAACACGTACCAGCACACACGTGCTCCTAGCAACTGAAACTACAACAAAATATAGCCTTGGTTCTAAACCACTGCCAAGAAGCCACCCACAAAACAGAACTCCTACCAGACTGTTACACTAGTGTAAGGACCAGCACTTCACATGACACTAACCACTGCTAAAACTCCAAAGTAGCTACTGAGCTTTTTACCCTGTAAGCTTCTTCTTAAGTTCTAATCACTTGGAGTCCACTGAAATATAACCGTATAAAGTGAACAAGTTTAATTACATCACAAAAACAAGTCAGCACTATTTTGTTTGCTTTTAATTGACTTTATTTAAATAGGATAAGGCTACTTAAAAGACAACTCTTTACATACAAAATGTACATTACATTAAAGTTTGCTGTACTCAAGTACAAAAACTGCACAAGTGTTTAGTAAAAGGGAAACAGCACAGTATTTCAAAACACATTCTTACCATTTTACATCATTCAGGAAGTGCCTTTTATGTCCTATCAGTGAATGGAGAATTTCTGTCAGTAATGAATTCAGCTATAGTTTTTGGTTTCGATATTAACCAATGTTAAAAACGTAAACAAGCTTTCAGATCACTACTGACAGCTTCTTTTAGTGAGTTAACTAAGAGGATTTAGAAGTTGATTCTTTTTTTGTTTATTAAGTCTGAGAGCATAATTATTGTTTACCATCCATATCTAAAATGGATCTAAATTGGCTTCACCCTGAGCCACTGAGATTTCAGAAAAATGTTTCCATCAACTTAAGTGGATTTCTGCCTTATAAGGGACTACCAATAGTCCAGATGAAACACCAAGTTTCACAGAAAAACAATATCCATCTAAAATTATCAATGGAAGGGAAAAAAAGTTTTTTTGGGGTTTTTGTTTTTTTTTTTTTTTTTTTTTTTAACTACATACACTAATGCTCTTAAGGTACTTCTTTGTCTTCATGTCCCTGTCCCTTTCCAATAGTTACCTCAGAAAGCACTGGCCTGCATTCCACAGGTTTTCCCCATATTCTATAAACATAACTAACCAGGAAAACAAGTAAATTTGCTACATCAGCACATTTTTACACTTATGCATGTATAAAATATGCCTATGTATCTAAGAGAACATGGCACTAATCCATTCACTACTTCCTCTCAAAGATTTATATCAAACAGTCTAATGGCATACTTCCATCTGCACATTTCATATTTCACATGTCAGTAAGAGAAACTTCAATTTGAAGTAACGCTGTTAAAATAGTTCACCTCTTATCACCAACCTAACTTGCACTGTAAATTCTACACTCCTGTGCAACAAAAAGGAAAAGATTTTGTCTCAGACTATCTTATCAGCAGAATGGTCAGTTTTCTTATCTAAATTAATTATCTTTTTAAAACCAAAAAATCTCTTGGAATCACTCTGAATCGCAATAGCTATTTTAACTATTTAACCAGAAGTGAAACACAACTGATTCTTACTGAAACAAAAAAAAATATTTATATGTGTGAATCATAGTGACATGCAGTAGATGAACTATAATAATCTTGAAAACTAAGAGGGGGGTTTACTATATTGTAATATTACCACCTTTTAAAGAAGTAATGAATTATCTGGTGTACATGAGTAGACACTCTTAAGGTGACTGGTGATAATGACTCCAGCTTTACAACAGGGATCTTTTAAACTTGTTAAAACTTCACAGCAATCTGAATCCCTGTAAGGTTTAAAAAGAAGTGTACTTAAACTGTTTAAATATGACTTATCTGATTGAAAATATGGAAGTAACATTTATGTTTCAAGCACCATTAGCTGTTTCATGGCCATGTAACATGCTGGATTTTCTTCTTTGCTTCCGTAGGCTTTAGGTCATTCTGAAATAAAGAAAATATATAAGTATTCCTAGATATGCTGTGCAAGTAGGAGTTAGTAATTAACCTGCCATATTCAAATCTAGTACTGGCTATTGTAGTATTCAGCTATATGCTACTACAACAGCTTTCTATTGCCATCTTGTGGACAAAGTTAAATATCACAGAACTTCTCTAAAGAAAAATAAAGCCACTGAATTTAACTACCTGCAAATCATACATGCCTATTGGTTTTTCTTAATCCTACAATTAGTTATGCAAAAATATCTTAAATTAGGCAGCTGAGAAACGGGTACATATTGGAGTTTCAAAACATACTTCTAAAGTTATTTCAGACAGCCTTCTTAAAATACATGTTGAAACTGGATTGTATAAGAAAAAAACCATACAACTAGGAAACCAACTTTGTTTTGTCAAATAGTAAAAACATTAGAAAAAAGAGATGGAAAAGTTGGTCTTCCTTTGTAATGACTTGTATAAAAAGCAAAACAATTGCCAGTGTCTCAGATGAACTCATTTTTCAAGTCCCACCTCAAGAAACCAGAAAAAAATCAAGCAATCCCAAAGTAAAACAATGGCAGATTGAAGTGTTGAAATAATTACCTTTCACCATCTAAAATAAGAAAAAATTATCTGAGAAATTAGAGCTTTAATAGTTCACACAAGCAGAGAAAAGACAGGTATATGAGATTTCCAGAACATTTTGCAACACGCTGGTTTGGGGAGCACAATCTAGAGATCTCTCTTCTTAAGAATTTCGGTGTTATTTTATTTACAGCAATCCTGTGGATTGCAACAGCTGGAAGGTTTAAGGAAATTAGATCCAAAGATCAGAGGGATAGTTCTGTGCTATTCAGCACAAGAACTTCAGATTTTCTTGAAAGTCAAAGAAGAGTCGCTTGCTTGAAAAGGCAATTGTCATCACTGTCATTATACTAAAAATATATCAGGCTTTATACTGTACAGCCATCTGTCAAGTATACTGGTTCTTCCTGGCTGCACCACTTATTATTCAATACGATAATCTTTAATTAGACAGTAAAGTAACACCCATACAACACACTTGCCTAACTTCAAACGTGTCTGACCAACAACAACCAAGGCACAACTGAACTGAACCTGTCTTAACTTGAACAACATAAACTGTGGCTAAGGTAGAAAGTCAAGTATCAGAGGTCATAACTTCTGCGTGTCAGTTATACAGTGTCACTTAAAAGTGTTTATCACTGTGTCTACAAAACATTTAAATTAAAGAAGCTCTGCGGTGTATACCAAAGAAGTTTCAGATGCTCTGCAGGTTCACATCTGACCGATACTTTGAAGAGTTCTAAATACTAAAATAAGTTAGTAATACAGGCAGTAGGAAACACACCTCACCAGCATAAATTTGATTCAAGCCCTCAGCCATGACTCTTGTAAAAGTTGCTAAAGCTGTCTTTCAGAACAGCCATGTGCTTAGGTGCTTGTGTTTAACAGATGTCTGGTGGAACCTACCAATCCAGGCAGCAAGGATATTACCTGTATTCTTGCACAAAAGGATTTTTAAAAAAAGAGATTAATAGCATTTCATGAAGGCAATATTGAAAAAGCAGAAGTTAGGTCTGGTGTCCTGGGAAAATTTTCATCAATGTAATTGCTCACTGCTATCTAAAGCTACCCCTGCAGTTCAACTGTGAACAGGTTATTTCTATTCCTCTGAAGCCCAGACTTATTCCAGATATTCCCATATTCCAGTGCAAATGTGAAAATTCCTTCATTTGTATCATGAAGGAATATGACAGAAATATAACACTTACCCATACCTCATGGCACGTTTTAAAGAGGAGATGGCCCATTGCTCCTTGATCACTGACAAGCCCATGAAGACTAATCAAACCTTTGCAGAAATAACCACTGTTCTACCTTTCTCCCCAACTGGCAGCTACAATCAGCACTATTTCCTACACTTTTAAAGATATGCCCTGCTGAATTCATATATACTGCCTTAGCAATTCTCTCATCACTTCAGCTCACCAGCCTCATTCTGCCCCCATCTGTAATGCAGTTCTCTTCTCTACAGAAAATTTGTTTGCAGCTGAATCTAACTTGCAGATGGAAGGTAACTTATTTACCTTAGCAGCTCAATCATCAGCCTTCTACTTGAGAACAGCACCCTTCTGTTCAAGATCTCAGTGTGTCTTTCTCATCATCTTATGGAAGCCCATGTTCCTGATTAAGATCACCATGGCTCAAAACGAGCACTTGACCTTTGGCCTCTCACTTCAACTATTATGGTTTGTTGTCATGGCTTCTCACTCAGACTCACAATCTAGGCAGCTGTCCAGATTTTCACATCCAGTTCCTTCCTCTAGCTTGCCAATTCCTATGTGAGATTTCAAACAGATGGCGTTCTTCCTCTAAGGATATATTCTACAGCTCTCAGCATCTCACTTCAGTTCCTGTAACATTTCTTTCTTCACTTTGACAAATGAAAGCTTGTCCTACTCAACCATTCAAGTGTGATTGTTACAAATATTATTCTTTTTTTTTTTTCTCTACTACAAGAAACAGACCACTTGTCCTATCTTTAAGGCTGTTCATGTTGTTCTGCAACACCTGTTCTTTCAGGCTGACCGGTAGGATTCTTTTGTTTGTTTTATTTGACTGCTACCAGCACCACCTTAAGTACTACCTACTTGCTCATTTTAAAATTACATGCATGTTTTCTACAAAGATGCCTCTCTCTCACACAGAAGTTTCACATGGACAAGTACAAAGGACTCAATTTTTTTCCTTCTAATCTTTCCTAAACTAGCTATTCTTTTGCCTGTTTCTGAATAAAGACTCTGCTATTACTCCAGAATAAAATAATCCTGAAAACTCTTAAAAGGTCTACCTCCTGAAAGTTTCTATTTAAAAAAAAAAGCTGCAAAACAAGATACTGAACATACATACCGGCAAATCAGATTCTTCTTTTGGAACAGCTCTCTTTAATTTCACAACAGTAGTTCCTGCTACTGGAGACAAAGGGTACACCTTCAGACTAGCCAACACACTGCTGTTAGTCTTTGAAATATTGTTCTGCTTAGCCTCATTGCTCCCCATTCCCAACTTAGCGTCCTCTGATAAACTGGAGGCTGAAATGTATGTTGAGGCATTTGAAGGAACTGATAATCTTCTAACAGTGTTGGTGGCGCTTCCAGCTGGAGGAGGTTTTAGGCGATCAGCAGCTCCATTCTCTGTCTTCTTCACCTTTATGCTTGTACTTGTTGAATTGCCATCAAATACAATTAATGGTCGTTTCCTTAAACCTTCCACCGTTGTAACACTGAAAGTAAAACATTATAAAATTCTCAGAAACATAAGCTAAATGATCCAAAAATAGCATATCCAAGACATCAGTAGTGAAACTGAATTTAACCTTGCTTAAAAATATATCCCCAAGTATTAACCTTAAACCCTTAGCTGCTCCAAACTTAGCACAGAAATTGCTTCCAAAATATAAAGGGGGAGGGGGCAGGGGATTGTGTGAGGAACAGTGTTTTTCAGCAAAAAGGGTTGTGTGAGGAACTTTCTAGTCAGACGATGACAGTTGTACAACCAAAGACCGTACGCTTATAACACTGTAGCTACCCCAGAGTAACTGAAGAGATAATAGTTGTTAAGCACCTCAAAAGGTAAATATTTGAGAAAGCGTGTGCCACCATACCTACATGAACAGCATCTAATATTCCAATGCTTCTAAATCTCCCTGTTTCTACTCTTATTCAAAATCATAATGTTAGAATAGTCTAAAATACTGTTAGACAAGGAACAAAAACATTAAGCAAAAAAAGCATACCTGTTTTTGAAATAAGCTGTCTTTGAACAGGAACCCTAAGCTGATTTAATTACTTTTTTTTAATAGTTTGTGCCTTTAAGCCTACATGTAGCCAGAGCCAGCCAATTTAGTAACAAATGATTCATGAAAAAGGAATACTATCAAACTAATATCAAAACTGTAGTATCATAAAACATCGTGACTGTCCAAAAATAAAGAACAAAGTTGTCATAGCTCACTCTACATGAATTTGGAGTTTTAAAAAAGCATTGCTCAAGAATGACAAAGTGTTTAGAAAGTGCAGATTTAACAAACAGGAAACCCAAACCACCATTAAATTATTTGATCCTTGTTTAGAATTTTGGTATACACTTACTGTTTAACCACCTAACATTAAACAGAGGAATAAAAGTTGAACTATAGGGTTTTCAACAATTATATTAATTTTTAATTAATAAATTTGACAATATTGTTAGGCTAGAACTATAATGTTAGGTCTCAATGGACTTCAAAATAAGCCTCAAGCAGAGACTCGATTCTTTCAACTTGGAACATCATCAGAGTAGTAGCTGCTGCTGAACCTCACATATAAAGAAATTATACATCACTTGCACAATTTACATCAAGACTGGAGGTTTCTTAAAACAAAATAAAGGAATCAAAATTTAAGAGCTCACAGAGCAAGAGAAAGTTCAGCTCTCATTCAGTTTTGCTTCTACATCATTATCTGTTCACAACTTATGTCACATAATCCTCTGCTTTTTCTATTCATCAGGTTCCCAGAAACAACAGAGACAATGAGAAATCTTCAATACATTTGGGACTTGTTTCTCAAGAGATCAGACACAACTCTTTGGCTTATATCTACAGTAGATGCGGTTTCTAGGAGAGCTTCTACAAAATGAGATTAGCTTCCAAGACCAGGGGTGTTTGGCCAGTCATGTTATTTCAGCTAAATACTACTGAAACAACACTAGTATTTAACACATCCATTAAATTAAGGAGTATAAATACACTGGTAAATCCTAAAAAGCTGACACACACTTCAAAAATAAAAACATGATACTTTTTGCTCACTTTGGCTTTATTCAGAATTTATTCAACACTCCTGACAAGCAACACATTCCCCAGCAGCCTTTTTTGGAAAGCTAGTTTACAAACTATGTGAAAGAAAAGATTTTATACTTTTTGCAGTTACCTTCCTTAACATAATAAGTTTGCTTTTCCTATGGAGTTTTTTTCTAAAGTCAGCTTGGTAAAGACTGGCAAGTCAGGAACTAACTGCAATTCTAAGAGGATTGTTATCTATTCTAAACTAAATTTTAGAATTGTAGCACTTTGTACAAATGACCACATGCTACAATACAGATAACATTCCCAGAGAAACACTTTAGGACAGTTCCAAAAGAAATCTGGATGCTGTACTGTCAAGAACTGTCACATCTAATTTTTAGATAAATGGCTGACAGAACACAGAGCCTTGGGTGTGACATTCACTTTCATTATATAAAGCACTGGCAGTGAAAAGTTTCAGAGTAGGACTCACGTTAGCCAGCACTCTTCTGAGAGAGGACAGTGACACTACCTAAGAGTTGCAAAGCACCATTTTGGGATTGTGTCCCCTCCTGCAGGACACTCTGTGAAACCTACATTTCAAAGAGCAGCTCCTACATCCTAGACAAACATTCTAGCCACCCTTTGGGCGGGGCTGGATGGAGGGCATGCTCTAATCCTGCTGGTTACTTTGTAGCACATGGTAAAGAATACAAGATTTACTAGAGGAAGCAAAAGCTTCTCTACATGAGCAATCTGAGTTTCAACTGTTTCACATGATTACTCATGTAGTTGGGATGTCCTCTGAACAACTCCCGATTATGAGGACCATTTAATGAAAAATGCTCCTATTCTTGTCTAGCTTAGCCTTGTACTTAAGGTAGGACCCTAAAACCAGGGAAAACAGTAGGGTTTAGCTCCCACCCCCTTATTATCCCTAATATTTGCATGTTACCAAAGATTCACCTCTACTGTGAAAGTCTGAAACTGGCCAGAAGTACCATGTTTTACACAGAACTCAACACTATCGGTGTATTAGCAGCTCTCAGAGGATGTCAAAGCAGCCTCTCAGGTGAGTAAGGAGAAATGGTGAGCTCTACCAAGGCCACAGCACTGAGCATGCACAGCCACAGTGCTCCTGGAGACAGAGTTTGTAGGTGAGTCTTCAAATTTGATGACACTTCAGAAACTACATATACATTTTGAGAATCATACCAGTCTCCTTCTTCCAGCAGGCAAGATTATCTTACAGAGCTACAAAATTAACTGTCCCTGAACACAAATACTTTCTGAAATGTTTGAAGTTGGATAGACTGCATTTGTTTCTATTTGGTATGATTGTTTGCAAGTTCTAATATTCAGTAATAAGATGTATAAACCATCATCTGTGACACCTGTGATCTGTGATATTTGATTGCATTATTGAGGTATAACACCTTACTGCAGCTCAGCTGATATACAGCAAGTCTTTTAGGACATGCCATCAATCACAAGCTGTAAAACTAAACATGATATTCAACACTGACTTTAAAATTTCAAGGTGTTTTTACCTCCTAACTGTAACTACTAGAGGCAGGCAAACACACTGAGCTGTGCTGATCAAGTCTCCAAGGCTCATATTAATTCCAGCACCTGTTGTAGAGCTGTGCTTTCCACAAAGGAACTTGTCAGAAAACTACTCTTGTTCATACAATCAATCAGTCTATCTGACCTCTAAACTGAACAGCACACTTAGTTCCCATCTCTGACTTGCACATAACTTAGAGCCTCACAATACCTAAGAATTTTGGTTTGTTTTTAAAAACAGGAACTCCAAGTTCTACTTCTTCCTCTGCACAATGGCATCGTGCAAGTTCTGCTTAAGTGGTGTACATAACTGTGAAGAAAAGTGTAATATCTTAATATCCAAAAGATGATTGAATTCCCTTCACTATTTCCATCAATATACTAAAACTGAAGTGTTCCCTGTGCAACTTTTACTTACTGAGAAGTGTTGAAAGTCTATTTTTCCCACTTCTCTGAGGTTAGTAATACTAGCAGTAAAAGATTAACTTTTCTAGACAGTATTTTGCCAGCATTTTTTCAAGTATAAAAGATTTAATACAAGCAAAAACAGTAACTGCTGAAAAATCTTAAAACTGTCTAACAACAGAGCAAAGGGCAAAGCCTCTTGTTAAATGCTCAGAGCAAGGAGATTGGCAGATTAAAAATATCTCTCTTTACTTACTATTTTCCCAGCAAATACTACATAGGTTTAACCATTACTGAATTTTAGTATAGCAAAATAAGAGCATCTAAACTTATTCTACATATAAACTCTGTAAGAAGCCATTCTCTCATTGAAAAAATAACATTGCCTCATTCTCTCAAAGACATCCAGCCTGCTATCTTTATTTCTTTGATAAAAAATTCTTCTACACCTATTTCGTCACACCAACAGTTTCTTATTATCCAAACACTCATGCTTTCATCAAGTTGCAAGTTGTAAACAGAGGTACTATAACCTTTTATGCACATGGAAAAAAAACAGAACTGATATAAGAAAATACAGTGTTCTAGCCCCTGCTAAATTTTTTAAAAATTAACAAAACAAAACAAAAAAATCACTCGACAGAATTTGTTTAGCTCTTTCTAGTTAGAAACCTCAGTAAAGCTAAAACACATTCATGAAATCAAAAAGCTGTAATACCGCAAAACTATAACAAGAATTTCTATCCACTTTAGGATTTACTGCTGAAGCTAAATCAGAATGCCACCAATTGCACACCATATATCAAAGACAAAATCTTGGGCAGGGGGAAGGTTGGGAGGAGAAGTGATTCAGTAAAATAAACTTCTGAGGAAGATTTTGCTTTCTGATCAAATACAAAGAGAAGGATTTTGAAAACACAGCAGAATGTTTCTTTCAGAAAGCAGATGTTAGTTTTGAATTGGACACACAAAGCTGCTGCAGCATACACCCCTGACTCTAGAGTAGACCAAGCCTGTCCAGGGAACAAGCATAATTAAACATGCTTTAGGAACTTCTCTTAAACACTGTAAATATGATTATTATTTAACAATTATATGGTGAAACAAAAAATAATTAATTCTTCTTCATTATAAAGAACCTTGAAATGTACCAATAACCTGGTACCAATACAGGCTGGGGCACGAAGGGATTGAAAGCAGCTCTGCACAGAAGGACTTGGGGGTACTGGTGGATGAAAAGGTGGACATGATGCAGCAATGCACACTCACAGCCCAGAAAGCCGACCACGTCCTGGGCTTCATCGAGAGAAGTGTGGGCAGCAGGCTGAGGGAGGGAGGGGATTCTCCCCCTCTACTCTGCTCTCATGAGACCCCCACCTGGAGTACTGTTTCCAGCTCTGGGGCCCCCAGCGTAAGGACATGGACCTGCTCAAGCAGGTCCAGAGGAGAGCCACAAACATGATCAGAGGGGTGGAGCACCTCCCCTGTGAGGACAGGCTGAGAGAGTTGGGGTTACTGAGCCTAGAGAAGAGAAGGCATGGGGAGACCTTACAGTGGCTATCCAGTACTTAAAGGGGACCTACAGGAAAGATGGTGACAAGCAGGGCCTGTTGTGATAGGACAAAGGGTAATGGTTTTAAAGTAAAAGAGGGCAGATTCAGACTTGATAGAAGGATGATTTTTTTACAGTGAGGCTGGTGAGAACCTGGAACAGGATGTCCAGAGAGGTGGTACTTGTCCCATTCTTGGAAACATTCAAGGTCAGGCTGGACGGGGCCCTGAGCAACCTGATCTAGTTGAAGATATCCCTGGTCATGGCAGGGGGGTTGGACCTTGAAAGATCCTTCCAACCCAAACCCTTCTATGATTCTACAATAAGCACTTTAAGCTAGTTACCATTAATAACATTTGGATGACAAAAAAAGACTATCTTCCCCTTTTTCCTATTAGTGCAGCAGTAGCATCTAACACTTCTGATACAGGAGAGGTGATTCGGCATTCTCTGTAAACTGTAACAACGCCCCAAAGCTGTACAAGTTTCATTAATCAAGAAAACTAAGATTAAACTAAACTCATTGTCCTAAATTCTCCAAGTCTAGCCCAATAAAAGTTAAATTACCTTTTATTATTACTGTTAAATTCATTTTGCTGTCTTTTCTTTTCCATCATTTTCCCCCATCTACTCTTTGGTAAGTCACGCTGAGGAAGGGGAATGGCATGTTGAATATAGAGATCAGTGAGACCATCTTTGTCCATCTTTACATCCTTCTCAACTAGTATATTTTTCTGCGGGGAACAGAAAAAAAGAAGAGTATTATGACAAGTTCAAAGCAAAAGCATCCTAATGGCATTTTTTTTTTCCAAAAACCACTTTAAGGTAGCGTATTGGGCATAAATGCCAGGGTTTCAGAAGTGAGGTGGCTACAGGGGTGACCAGTGTGGAGAGGTCATGAACTGCCCTGAGTCAATTAAACTTATTGTTTTAGCCTGGCCTCATGCCTTCCTACTGACAACTTTCCTTGTCCGCAGAAGTGTGGATTACACTCAGTCTCTCCCTTCAGTGAGGCAAGGGGATATGCAGGATGTTTGGGTCAGTGCACAGTGGTTTCTTTTTCCACTACCTGCAAACACATTTCTTCAGATATCTCCTCATGTGCCTCTTCCTATACATCCTTTTGTGTCTCCTGACGCTGGTGTCTGCCACTCTTTATTAAGTGCATTAGAGCACAGCTGCTGTAAACTCCTCTGCTTGAAATGCTGGTGTGTGATGGGCTGTGTCAGACAGCTGGATCCAGCTGCAACCAGTACTGGGCATTTCATCACCTTCACCCACACACGTCAACCCTGCAGCCTCTCCCTACCCAAAACTCTGCATTTTTTCCCCAATAAAAATAGCAAAAAAAGGGAAAAGGTATGCTAGACATACTGCTGATGATGACTGATGTTTTCATGCACTCTTAAACCCTAAATCTAACTACTGTATCAGAGTTCTTCTTCACACCTTTAAAAAACAGGCAACTAGAACATAACACAGTTCAAACTTACAGGTGCAGAGCCATACATCCTTCCCTAGTTCTCAAAAAGTTGCAAAAGGAGATTTCTAGTAACTGCCAGTTACAACCAAACATCAGTTTTCTTTCTGATCATGCATAGGGTTGTGAAAACAAATTTTCTTGGTACCTCCTGTCAAATTTATTAAAAGAGAAAAGACCCCACTAACTTCCTACAAACTAGGTCACTGAAACTAGGTCAAGTCCCTGCCACGACTGGTTTTGGCAACAATTCATGACTTCTGATGTGGGCCTAAAAACCCACGTGTGTCATCTTTGTTCACATAAAATTACACAGACAAAAGCATAAAAAAATTCAGCGAGCTCACACACAAACCTAAAACTGCAATTACTGTTGTTTCACGCACCTAAAATTTTCAGGCAAGGCAGTAACAAGCATTACAAATCACAGCAACTGAAGCTTCATATGGTCCAAAAGTGTTTATAACTCAAACTCATTTTTATGCATACTTAAGCATTACCTTGTCTGATTATGTGGGATGCATTTCCTTAATTCACTGGGTATGGACATGGCAAATTTAACAAAGATAGATTCCACTAATAATTTTTACTGCATGCAAACACATGTGTAACAGACACGCTGCTTTAGATAAATTACTCTTTAGCAGCTACAATGTTCAAACACAGCTCCTATGCAAACACAGGGCTATCCTACAGGCCTTCTCTAAGCAAGCACCTAGCCGACAAGAGTACCGACTTGGGTTTTGTTTGTTGTTTCCTGAACGCTTCTTGCACACCCGTTAAGGGCGGTACAAAGACGGGAAGCCGCAGGGTGTCTGGGAGAAAACTTCCAGTGCAGGTGATGGGGGTAGGAGCTTCCCTGCAGGGTGAAGCGGAGAAATAAATAGGGCAGGTCTAACGCAGAGGGGGAACGAGACAAGCAAGGCCGCAGGTCCGGGAGGCGTCCCTCGCCGCCGGGCGGGACAGGCGCCACACCCCCCCACCCCGCTTGATGTGCCGCCGCGGGGCCGAGCCGCTCCCCGGCGGCAGCCGGGCGCACCTGCTCCAGGGTGAGCAACAGGAACTCCTCCGAGAGCAGCTCTGGGTGCAGCAGCAGCTCCGACTCTGGACGGCCCGACCCCCGGTCCTCCTTACGGCAGCCGCCACCGCTCACCCGGCCCCTTCCCTGCGCCGCCATCTTCTTCCCCCGGCGACCCGTTTACCGGCCTCCCACAATGCCGCGCGGGAGAGGGGCTCGCGCGGAAAGCGACGCGCGGGAAGTGACGGCGGGGCGCGTGGGCGCTTTTTCGGGGTGTTCGTCGGTAAATGCGTGTGAGGGAGCGGCCGCCGGGCCGGGTCGGGCCCGGTTACCTGCGCGGGAGGGCCGGGCCGGGCTGTTGGCGGCAGCTAGACACGGGGAGGGAGAGGGGGGCTGGGAGCGGGGTTCAGAGCAGCCGCGCCGCAGCCCGCTTTCGAGTGACGTGGTGGAGCGGGAGGCGGCGTGCGGGCAGCTCGGCCGGCGGGTCGGAGGGCGTTTGGCGTTGCCGGTGAGGTTCCCCTGAGGGGCGGGGCGGGGAAAAGGAGCCTGTTCCGTTGCAGTCCTGCCGGTACATGTGGCACTTTGCCGCTGCCGGGCGTGGGAAGCTCGGCTGCTGAAGTAAACGGGGCCTAAATCTCGCCCGCAAGAGCGATAACCGCTAAATTAACGCTTCTTGTTTGCGCTGGCAGAAGTTGTTTAGTAATTCCGAATTCAAATAGCCGTGTGCTGCTTTGGGGTGGTAATCTGCTTTGCGAGTTTAAAAGCAGACAAGTATTACAACTGATTACATGAGGAAATTAACCATGTTGTTGTTACAACGTGAAAGTGCAACGTAATTTGAAGTACTTGATGCGTTTTACGGAATTACGAAGCAGAAGCAACGGAGTAATCACAAAAATAACACGCACGCGGAACAAATTCGCATATACATGACTACGTGTGGAACATGCTATCTGTATGCAGCACATCTAAGAATATGAATTCAATCTTTGAATATTTAAAATTCATTTAAGTGTACCAGCAAGCAACGCAATAACTGTTTGTGGACGTTATTTCACGTGGCGTCCTCAAAGCTGCCTTCTGGCAGTCTGGGCAGTTTGTTTCCTTGTGCTCGCCCTCCTCCGAAACCATCCGCAACTGCCGTGGTTTCTTGTTTTTTCCTGGGAGAGCTGCTCTCTCCATCTACACTTATCCTTCGTACGTCAGGGTCGGACCTGGTCCGTAACTAAGACCTGTAACGCAACTGCGGCGTTCGGGAAGAATAACCGTGCCGCCCCAGGCCGGCTGCATGGACGCTCCCTGCCCCGGCCGCGCCCCTGGTAGGCGGGGCTAGGCGAGGCTCCACCCC